CCCCAAAACCCCAAAACCCCAAAACCCCAAAACCCCAATTAGCAGAAGGAATTTGACAATATTTAAAATAAATATGATCGCAAGGAAAATAGCAAGAGAAGCTAACCTGAAAATTCAAAACCAACTTGAAAGGGTACATACGAAGGTTAATGCTTTAGGAACAATTAGGAGATCCACCTGATGATGAGGTCTTCGAACCTGATTCCAATCCTGAGTCATTTATATATCCAGAAAGCTCGTTTATTGAGGAGTCTGAGTTCTCTTCTAGTAATTCTGCTGTAATTTTGTGTAGGTGTTGGGACTAATAACATTGCCAATGATCCAACTAAGACTAATATACTTAATAAGAAGAGAGATACTGAAAAGACCAAACTACTCAAGATTAAGAGTATTAGTAAAAAGATCACATATCTTGATTTTGGAAACCTTACAGTAGCTTTGTTAGGAATATTGACAGCTCAAGCAGATGCTGATGTGTTTGTAAGACACTTCATATCTTTCTTTATAAGAATGCTCCCCTCTTCAAGAGTGTTTAAAATTTTGGAGGAATATATGAACCAAATCAGTTTTGTTCCTTTCGAAATTTTGGAATACTTCTTAACATAGTTAAACTTTTAGGCTTATGAATACAAGCTAGAGCCTGCAACGATAGCTCTCAGGACAATTACAAGCTTTCTGACTGTCCTTCTGATATGAATGCTATGCTTACGGTATTATTTTATGTGCAAAAAGTTGCAACTAATAGAGGTAAAATTCAAATATTCCCATGTAATTAGTACCATTTCTGACATAATCAAGATCAGGCATTCAGGTTGTGATCCCTCTCATATCGAAGGATTTTGGATAGCTTAGAAAACACTTGGAATTGCTTATGATTTCTTGATAGAGTACCAAAAACTTCATGGACATTACAGAACTCAAGAAGTTAATTGTAGAGATCCTGGTCTGAGTTATCCATAGTCCTCCCTACTTTGGCACTGAAAAGGTAAGGAACAGAATTAAAATCATTAGTCTCTGAACCTGTTAACATTATTCCTAGGTTTTCTTTGAATACAGGCAGATTGGAGGTCGGATAAGATACCCCCTAGATACCTTCATATTCATGATAATGTTTGCAAGAATCTACCTGATCATGCGAGTCTTAAGGGAGTTCTCCCTCTTCAACTATGAATACACAGATAGATTCGTATACAAAGAGACTGAGCTGGAGTCTCGTCTATCGTATGACATAATAATCAAATCCATGTTTAAACAGAGACCTTACTTCATGCTTGCCACTTATTTCATATTTACTACTACTTTCTTGGCATTTGCAGTCAGAATGTTTGAAAGACCATTCTATGATGACCCAAAAGTTAGTAATGTATCAAGTGATGATCCCTCGTACCAGGACTATAGCCTGTTTAACAACGCATGGTGGTTGATAGTCGTCACCATGACCACAGTAGGGTATGGAGATTACTACCCAAGAACTCATCTTGGAAGAATGGTTGTCTTAATAGCTTGTTTCTGAGGAGTATTCATGGTTTCCCTCTCAGTGGTAACTCTCACATCTGCTTCTGAATTCACTCGAGGTGAAAAATCTACCTATGAGATCTTACTGAGGCTCAAACAAAGAAAAGCTATTGAGCATGCCGCTCGTAAAGTGATCTACTACAATGTCTGCTACTTTTTCCTGAAGAGAGAACTTAAAATAAAGGAACAAAAGAAAGCTGAAGAACGAAAAGTGGCGAATCTGAGAACCTCTGAAGATATCTTAGAAACCAAAATTGAAGAAAAGAAGAAGATGGAGGCTGACAAGAAGAATGTTCCATTTTATACCAAATTACGCCAGCTCAAAGACAATAAGAAGAGATATGAAAATATTTTCTATAGTAGGAGAAAGAGACTCACTCCTATTGAGACAATGGATCATGTTCGATATGATTATTCTAAGATCCAGAAGCGGATGGCTATGGCAAACTTTATCGAAACTGCACTACTGAACACACTTAAAATACAAACCCAGCAAGGTATTTTCTAAGAAATAGCTAATAATATCTAGAAAAACAGTTGAAAATGACTTTGAACAACTTCAAAAGAGTTCAGAGTGAGACCAACAGACTTAGTATGTTACAAAGAAGCTTTGCAATGAAAGCTCGCTCAGATAATCACAGCACAGATGATGTGGAGAAGAAGTCGTACTTTCATCAGACTTCTTCGAATTCAATATCTCCTTCTGGAAAGGATTACCTCAAGAGTCACAAAAGAACAGGTAAGATATGGATAATCTTTGTCCTAAGCCTCTTTAGCTCCGAATGATAGTGGAAATACCACAGCCAATGTTCACATTTCTAAGGAAGAGCTTGAGAGCAAAATTGCGGTCCTTCAAAAAGAGCTTAACAGACTTAAACAAGATGATATTTCAGATAATTTCAAGTTCCCGAACCCTAAAAATTTTGGAAGAAGTCTTACAAGAGCTTACAAAATCAACAGTGAATCTCATATTTCTTCAGCTTCGAGGAGATCCTCCATGGGAAAGGTAAGCTTTAAGGACTTATTAATAGAGCCATACGAGTGTCAACAACAGTAATCTCGGCCAGAATAACCAAAATAATGACAACAAGATTAGTGTCTTTGAGAGATCAAAATTTTCACCGAGAACGAAGCTCCAAAACTCTGTGAGTAGTCCGATATCTTCTGAGGAATCCAGTTCGGAAGAGTATAAGGATGATGACTCCGACACCGTGAGAAGCAGGAATATGGGAAATCCTAACATCACGATTTCTCAAATAGAAGGGAAAGATGAACAAGGTAAAAATATTGATGCAAATAAATCAGCCTCGAAATCAACTCCTTCAAGAAGGAGATCCTCAGTCCAGGTTAAGAACACTGTAAGACTTCCCTCTGATCTTCTAGCTATTCAGCTATTTCAATGAAAAGGAGATGTCTGAGGGTCAAAAATTGGTTGGAAAATCCTCTGGAAAACTTCCTATCAGGAGACAAGGCACTAATATCAACCTTCGAGAAATAGAGAACCTCTATCCTACTATTGACGAACAGGAAAGCAAGGAGGAAAGTGTAGGAGAATCTTCGGTAGAAATTCCTCCCAAGGGTATCCCTGATCCCAAAATGCACGATATTTTCTACAGAAAGTCGAATATTGATCAGCCTCTCGTAGAAAGGAAGGCACCAAAGACCAATATTAACAGAAGGTTTAAGTCTAAAATGCTTTCCCTCTTTGACTAGCTAAAATTTAAATTTCAACCAAAGATTTGTATTTAGGGGTTTTGGGGTTTTGGGGTTTTGGGGTTTTGGGG